AAAAATTAGATGATATGCTGCCATTATATAATCCAGGGGTCAGCAACCTTTTTCAGCTGTGGGTCGGTCCATCGTCCCTCAGACCATGTGGGGGGTCAGTCTTTTTTGGGGGGGGAATGAACGAATTTCTATGCCCCACAAATAACTCAGAGATGCATTTTAAATAAAAGCACGCATTCTACTCATGTAAAAACACCAGGCAGGCCCCACAAATAACCCAGAAAAGGACACATTCTACTCATGTAAAAACACGCTGATTCCCGGACCATCCGTGGGCTGGATTGAAAAGGTGATTGGGCTGCATCCGGCCCACGGGCCTTAGGTGCCTACCCCGGATATAATCTTCTACTCTTAGTAGAGGTAAGGCAACTTTGCAAGACTCGCAGGTCCCATTTTCCACATACAAACACAAACGGCACACTCGGCCAGAATCTGGTGTCTATTCTATATGCTACTGAATACAACGGGGTTGGGAAATATTTTCCGACTGCTGGGCCAAGATCCTGTCTCCCTAAGGCCCAAATTGGGCAGGTGGATGAGGCAGCCTACCTGTCAATCAATCACCTAGTCATAATCGTAATGACACCAGGTGACAACAATGCCTTGAACAGAGTTCCCCCATCCCTTCCCTACTTTAATGCAGATGCAAGTGACAGATGGCTGTCTGGCCTCTGAACATAAGAACAAATGGTGAGCAAGATGGAGCAGGCCAATGGCCCTCCTAGTCCAGCATCGTGTTCTTGCCACCAGATGCCTGTGGGAAGCCTTCAAGCTGGACAGCAGCACAGCAGCAAGCTCCAGCTAAGAAGAGCTCATCACTTTTCAAAGCAGTCTGTTCCACTGTCAAATACTGTTATGATGTTTCTCTTAACACATAGGCAAATTTGCTTCCCTGCTGTTTCCACCCATTGGTTCTAATCCAGTCCTCCAGAACAACAGAGAAAAAGTCTGCTCTGTCTTCTGCATGACAGACCTTCAGATATTTGAAGACCAATGTTAATGTCTCCACTCTACTCCAGGCTGAATGCACCCAGACCTTTCAACTGTTCTTCACAGAACTTGATTTTTAGCCCATTAGCACCCTTGTTTCTCTCCCCTGGACATGCTCCAAATGGTCTATGGCCATTCTTAAAATGTGGCACCCCTGAACACAGTTCTGAAGATATGGATTAACCAAGGCAGAATAGTGCAAAGTCATTACAGTGGTACCTCGGGTTACATACGCTTCAGGTTACATATGCTTCAGGTTACAGACTCCACTAACCCAGAAATAGTGCTTCAGGTTAAGAACTTTGCTTCAGGATAAGAACAGAAATCGTGCTCTGGCGGCGCAGCGGCAGCAGGAGGCCCCATTAGCTAAAGTGGTGCTTCAGGTTAAGAACGGTTTCAGGTTAAGAACGGACCTCTGGAACGAATTAAGTACTTAACCCGAGGTACCACTGTACTTCTCATGATGTGAATACTGTGTTCCTGCCAAAGTGGCCTAAGATTGCAGTATCATCATCATCATCATCATTTTTTATTTGTATGCTGCCTTTCCACAGTTAAAAACAATGCTCAAGGCGGCTTACAACATGACAAGATTTACATAATTACAAATGTCATAAACAATAAATAAACCACATCAAAAAAATACACAACCAAATGGAAAACAATTTCCACATAAATCAAAATCTAAAACTAATACAGCATTAATATCACAGTTTAAGATGGCATAGGTAAAAAATAACAGCAATTTAAACAAAAAACAAAACACCAGCTCCAGCACACCTGTGTAATTTTGAATCTTGATTTTTGTCTTCTATAGTGTTAGCCATCCCTCCCAGCTTTGTGTCATCTGCAAATCAGATAAACCTCCCCTCTATATTCTCATCCAAGTAAAAATATATTGAATTAGACAACTGCTCATGTGTTTTTTTTACATTTATCTTCTAGAAATGGGAACCACACTTTCCCACACAACACCACAAATGCAGAGTGTGCAGCAGTACATCTGAGGACTTCCCGCACTCGGACTGAATACCAAGTGAGATCAGGCCATTACAATTCTTCACAGTGCCATCTATTGGTTTGTTATAATCCAGGGCAGCTGTCTACCAACTCCACCTGGTACGCAGGCTGAGACCCTACCTGCCCGAGGACTGTCTCGCCAGAGTGGTGCATGCTCTAGTTATCTCCCGCTTGGACTACTGCAATGCACTCTACGTGGGGCTACCTTTGAAGGTGACTCGGAAACTACAACTAATCCAGAATGCGGCAGCTAGACTGGTGACTGGGGGCGGCCGCTGAGACCACATAACACTGGTCTTGAAAGACCTACACTGGCTCCCAGTACGTTTCTGAGCACAATTCAAAGTGCTGGTGTTGACCTTTAAAGCCCTAAACGGCCTCGGCCCAGTATACCTGAAGGAGCGTCTCCACCCCCATCGTTCTGCCCGGACGCTGAGGTCCAGCACCGAGGGCCTTCTGGCAGTTCCCTCATTGTGAGAAGTGAGGTTACAGGAAACCAGGCAGAAGGCCTTCTCGGTAGTGGCGCCCGCCCTGTGGAACGCCCTCCCATCAGATGTCAAAGCAATAAACAACTACCTGACATTCAGAAGACATCTTAAGGCAACCCTGTTCAAAAGATGGCTCTCTTAATTTGTGGAATTTGTATTCCTGTAAACATTAATGCATAATTAAATTCCCTGAATCAGGGTGGGGAACCTCAGCCCTGGAGGCTGAATGCAACCCTCCAGCTCTGTCCAGTTGTCAGGACTCTCCTAGTCTAAAACACTTCTCATTGGCCCAGCTTCATCTCTTCCTTGAGTGCTTTTGCCTGGCTGAAATGTAATAATGTAGAGGTGGGTGTGGATGAGAGAGAGAGAGAGAATGTGTGAACATAAAAGCCTGCTAGATCATCGAGGTCCATCTAGTCTAGTCCCCAATACTCACAGTGGCCAGCTTCCAACTCGTGTGTGACTGGAATACTGCCTACTGTAAGAGCCACACCCATTGCTGCACTCACTTTTGCCTCTGACTCCAGCCACCCCTGGCATCCAGCCTTCAGAAGGCTTCCCACAAGGCAATGTGGTCCTCTAGCTAAAGAAGGTTCATCACCTGTGGCCTATATGCTGATGATGCTATGTAGCATATTGCCATGTGGGTCTTCCTATGGCTCCTCTGTAATCCTATGTTTCCTACTGCAATCCAAAATACCTTTATGATTATATTGAAGAGTGCAAGCCTAAACATATTTATCCAAAGCAATTTCCAATTGAAATCCATGCACTTCAAGCAAATGTTGTGCTGGGCTGCGCAAGAGAACACTGCAACCAGGACACAAGGTCCAGATATTGAAAACTTCACATGGAATGTCACCATTAACTTGCATCCCAATTCTAAACATACTCCAAGTGTTCCACTGACTTGGTGGACATTCCATCCAAGTAAAAGTTACTTCCAATCTCAAGCACACTCTTGAATCTCATTTATTTCAATGGGAGCACCTTTAAATCTCATTTATTTTAATGGGAGAAGTAAGCATGTGCTCAGGCCTCTACCACTAAAATAAATGGGACCTAAAATTAGGTTATAGTTCACATTCAATAAGACTGCTCATAGATTTGTGATATGCAACAACCTACTAACACCGCCAGATGGTTCCTACACCTATTAAAAGCAGGCAGGATATATGAAGTTAAATAAAATCTACTTTGGAGGAATGGGGGGGGGGGTTTCCACTACATTGTTGGCTCCCAAAGCAGCCTATAATTCAAAGTCAAGTGAAGGAGGCAATGATTGGGAAGCAGTTTATCTAACAGTGCAGTCTGCCATCCTGTCTCATAATATGCTCTTGGGAACCCTGGGAACAGCAGCTTGACATATAAATGCACCCATCTTCTCACTGCATTGAGCAGAAGCCAAAAGAGATGGGAAACAACTGCAAAAAGAATCAGCAAGTCTCAAGAACTTTCCTTTACACCCTGCTAAATTACGATGAAATAAAAACCATCAGTAGGAAGGTATCCTTTCAAAAAATGTCTTCCTCTGACTGGCAGTATCCACTGCCACTCTAAAGGGGTAATGAAACTGAAGTTGGATTTTTGCACCACATGAACTTCCAACTTTGCATCTCAGTCTCAATTTCCCTTTGCAGCCATCTGAAGAAAAAAATGCACTGACTCCAACTTTTACCATTGCAAACTGGTGCTTTTCAGGGCAATGTGGAACTGGCAAATTTAACTAGCATCTTATTTAGAAAGAATTGCTCCCTAAGGTCAAATAATTTTTTTAAAAAAATTATTGCCACATATTTCCAACTCAAGCTTCAGTGCTTTTTTGTGGTGCACAATAAGTCAAAGTCCACATAGCTGCAGAAGCATGAAAAAGCTGCCCCAGTCTGCAGTGTCGTTTGTTCAGTCATGTTTCAGTTGATTAGAGCTTAGGAAACAAAGTGTTTATTGCCTCCAAAATATCTAAGACTAAGGGTCAGGGCCAAAAGCCCTCTGTTTGCTGAAATGTTCATCTGCAACATAAGCTTTTCAAATACTTAGAAGCTGCAGTCTGATGCCACTTTGCTGAGTAAAGAGTAGATATCCAATTAGCAAAATCTTGGGTTACTGGTAACACCAATGCCACTATCTTAACATAATCTCTTCATCGTTGGAAAGATGACAAATACATAGGAGCACAAACATTGATACACAAACACACGTAGACAGTTATGCTAATTTGATTTTTTTTAAATCCGAAAAGCTATTATAGTAAAAGTATTCTGCTGCTGCTAGGATTGCTCATTCAGTTATTTGCTCTACTCTATTGTTATAATTTGGGTTTGCTCTCAGCGTCTCCTTTACAGCTCTCCTGGCATGTTGCCGGGAAACAGAGATGTCGTTAACATAACATTCAGAGTTATTTTTCATTCGATCAACCCCAAAATTTTCAAAACAGGGTCATATGCACCAGGCAATCTATTTGCATCCTGTTAAATTAGTAAAACGTATATACACACCACTTACTTTTCATACTTGCAAATCTTAGGATCTTCATGTATAGACTACATCCTCTTCCTTCCAGAGAAACACTGAGCAGCCAGTGTGTAACATATCATAGCACTTCAATAGGCTTTCAGGGTTTTCTGCACTAAATATCACCCAATAGAAAGATTCCCATCCTCCCAAGTGTTTGTTTCAAAGTGCGTCCTTGGCACACAGTGCTAAATACTAACACAGAGCGCTTTTTGAGGTAAGATTTTTGTACCAGCAACTCCAAGAAGGGATTAACAATGTTTCAGAGATCAAAAGTTTTATCCTCCAAGGGGAAAACTAAAAGGACTTTGCCCTCTTCCCCGTTTTTATGTTATTCCCCTCCTTCTTTAGCAACTGAGATTAGATTTTTTTAAAAAATTATTGCAGTGCAGAGGGTTTGGCATTCATGTGCAGCAAGTTCCTTTTTGCAACCCGCACATCTCCGCAACACCCTGAACGAAATAAAATGCAGCTACTTACTTGGTCCAAACAGGGCTTTCAAGGTTCCCACACACCAACATATCCTTTGACTCAGAGCTACCTCATTCCCTAACAAAGCACCAATAGCAACAGCATGGGAGATGCCGTTCTGAGGAGCCAGCCAACATCACTCCACTCTTACTAAGATTCAAAAGAACAATGGAAGCTCCACCCTCTCCAAGTCCCTGAAAGGCTGGGCATGAGTGCCTCTTTCCTACGCCCAGTTCTCCCTTGGTACAGATGTCCTGAAATCACTGCTCCCGTCTGGAAAATCCACCATACTGTGAATCCCTGCACGCCAACCAAGGGCAAATCCTGCAACACAGAACTAAAAAGGCTGCCCTTGGCTCCATAGGATTGGAACATGAATTATCTGCCTACTTAAGGAAAGTGGGGTGCGGCCCTAAAATTGCTTGCTTGGAGACAGATTCCACTAAAATGAATTTGTTTAGAACTAGGATGCCAATAGGAAAACACCTCTTCAACTAATAAGGGGGAAATGATAAAGTTGTGGAAACAACAACAACAATAATTGCTTGCATGCCAAGCTCCCCTATCCCTGCCTTAGGCTGTAAAGCAATGTAAGCAAAAGCCCTGTCAGCATATCATAGGAACCAACAAAGATGCCTTATACAGAGTCAGGCCATTGACCATCTCACAGATTGTTTACAATGACTGGCCACAGCTCTCCAAGATTTCAGACCAGGTTTTCTTCCATGAGAAGGCACTGTATTAGGGCAAGTCTGACACAACAAGCTGAATGAACTTAAGAAGCTGCCATCAAATCAAACAGTTGCCCCATATGACTGTCTCCTCTGGCTGTGATCCGGCAAAGCCTTAAGGCAGCACAGAGGAGACTCGCGGACCTTCAGGAATTGTTGGACTACAACTCCCATCATCCCTGATCATTGGCCTTGGTGGCTGGGACTAATGGGAGTTGGAGTCGAAAAGCCATAGGTTCCACACTAGAGGTCTTTCCTAGTCCTGCTCCCAAACCTTTTAACCGAATATGCTAGGAATTGAAACTGGGAGCTTCAGCATGCAAAGTATAAGCCCTTCCTAGATGCAAGTGTCAAGTGTCAGGCACTTGACAAATACAAATGCAAACATACACAATTTAGAAACTCCAAAGTGCCACAGGCCTAGAGATTGGATCAGAAAGAGGTTTAAACAGTATAATGCAAGCCTGATTTTCTTTTGTATCTGCTGTACTTGCTGCCGGTTGAACAAATCTTCAACTGAATGTTTGGAACTCAGGAAGTAAAACTCTTGTAAAACATCCAAAAGTTTCATCCACCAATCATTGTCTGGAATCTCCCTTTATTGCATTGTAAGCAAGCATTCTTTTTCTCTTTTCTTTTTTCTTTTCTTCAGATACACTTAGTTAAAGCAGGAGGGGAGATGTGGTGTAAATTAATGTTCAGTGTAACCACAGAAACAGCAGCATCACTCATATTGTATAACTATATTAAAACTATATTAAAAAGTAACTATGGAAACTAGTTATTAACAGGTCAAAATGACTAAACAAGAGCTGTTGTAATTTGAAAAGGAGATTAAAACAGAAAACAACTTTGTTACATATGAGATCTTTGGGAATTTTAAACTATTCTGTCCTCATCACTGACTGCAATCCAGATAATTCCTGCATTGCAGGGGGCTGGACTAGATGGCCCTTGGGCTCCCTTATAACTCTACAATTCTATGATAAGCCTCTTGAGGAGAAAGGAAACTTGGTTATCTTTATCCTTCACATGTCTGGTGCAAACATAGTATTATGTGCCAGAAGCTCTCAATAATCATGAGATGTAATATCGAGTGCCATGCTCTCTCCTCCTCTCCTCTCATCTCCAATGAGAATCCTTAACTTCCCAAGAAGCCTGATTCACATGTAAAACTATGGTTTAGCACAAACTAGCAAACGATGGTTTGGCACAAACAAGCAAACATGTGAGCTCCCAGAAAAGAGGTGGTGGCTGCTTTGCTCCTCCTCTGCTGCTGAACTTGGCCCTCTCTCCAGACAAACCAAGAACTGTAACCAAGGCTTGCCCCCTGGTTTACAATAAAATAGCACAGTGAAGTTTCAAAACACTAAAACAACCAACAACAACATTAAGTCTCATTAAAATAACAGGGAGTTATTAAAGCCCTCATCATCAATCCACAGTGCTATAAAATCAATTAACCTAAATCAGATTAGAATAAATACGTTCTTAAAGGCAAAGGTAAAGGGACCCCTGACCATTAGGTCCAGTCGTGACCGACTCTGGGGTTGCGGCGCTCATCTCGCTTTATTGGCCGAGGGAGCCGGCGTACAGCTTCCAGGTCATGTGGCCAGCATGACTAAGCCACTTCTGGAGAACCAGAGCAGCGCACGGAAACGCCGTTTACCTTCCCACCGAAGCGGTACCTATTATCTACTTGCACTTTGAGGTGCTTTCGAACTGCTAGGTTGGCAGGAGCAGGGACCGAGCAACGGGAGCTCACCCCGTCGCGGGGATTCGAACCGCCGACCTTCTGATCGGCAAGTCCTAGGCTCTGTGGTTTAACCCACAGTGCCACCCGCATCCTAGGGCTCTTCTTAGGGCTCTTCTAAAAACTCTCAGGAGCGGGCTTCATGCAAACCCCTGGAGAGGGTATTCCATAAAAGGGGAGCCACCCAGTCCCTGGAATTGCTCTCATCAGTCGTTGAGACCTTAAGGCTAGTGAAGGTTGTCCTTCAGATGAGCATATTCCTATCATTCAGATCCCTGGGGGAAACTCTGCTGTGTGTCTCTCCACTATGAGTTAAGAACATAAGAGGAGCCTGCTGGACCAGGTCAATGGCCCTTTGAGACCAATACTCTGTTCTCACAGTGGCCAGCCAGATGCCTGTGGGAAACCAGGTGTACAGTAAGCAGGGAGACACAAAAGAGCTCCCATCCCCTTCCACACGGAAACCAGGATGATGACTGTACACACGCTACACAAATGAAAAACTTGAGGATCCATTCTGCATCCTTCACATAAGTCAAATTTTTGTGGTAGAAGAAAAAGTGGGCTTTTTTGAGGACATTATTCTGGAATACTAACTGAATAATGCCTTAGTTGTGTGGCAGCATGCCAAAAAATCTGAAAAAACAGCAACTGCCTTACTCTAAGTGGTAAGTGTGGAAAGGTCCAACAACTCTGTATCCATAATCCAACAGAACAAATGGAGGATTCAGTAATAATGCATGCATAATGATCCAGTACGACTAATTGTATCTTTTTAATTGCAGCCAGTGTGACAGCAAGTAGAATTAGCAAACAAGTAACCTATTTGTCACAGTACATTTCAGGTGCCTTTCCTACTGACTGTGTTGCTATCGAGATATAGTATAGTATAGGCTTTGAAACATGCTTTGCTACAAAAATAGTGATCTTCCTTCATTCTAAGCCAATACTGACTACTCTGACTGGCAGCAGATATCCAGAGTCTCAAGCAGAATTTCCCCCCATTACCTACTACCTGATCCTTTTAACTGAAGATGCCAGAGATTGAGCCTGTGAGCTCCTGCATGCAAACAACTGGGCATAGTTTGTCCCTTTTGGATCGTAACACAACTTAAGAAGAGTCTCGTACAACCTTGCATTTAACAATTCACCTGGCCACAGAAGGCAACAAGGGATCCCACGCAGGTGTTGAGTTGCACGCCCCTAGCAGCAAAGAACAGTTCTGTAGTAGCCCTCACTACTTGAGCAACGTTAAAACAGGCTGTAAAAGTGGGCAATTTTAGGGTGACAGAAACATGCTCTCATTAGCAAGTTTTACTGACACTGATCAGCTCAACTGTTCCATTATTACATCACAATCAGTTGACTTAGGTTATAGTTCTTTCACAGTGTAATCCATTCTATGTATGCACAAGGAAGTCCTGCTGAATTCAGTGGGACTTGCTCCCAGGTAAGCATCTATAACCAGTATGTATGGTACACCTTTGGATCGTCAGATTTTGTTGAACTACAACCCCCACCAGCCCTAGCTAGAAAGAGGACAGGGAAAACATTGGCTGAGAGATCCCACCATCCAAAGCATTCCACAGTTCCACTGTAGATAGGGTACCACAAGCTGTAGATACATTTCAGGTCTCAAAAGCTGGCATTAAGAGGTAGAGCTTGTTGAATTATTTGTACCCCTGTTTTTCTGGTTTTGTTTACATTGAATAAGGCCAATGCTACCTTAATAGGCCCAGGAGCAATTATTCTTCTATTCATACCCTATTCAATCCAAAGGTTTAAATTTATTGCTAAGGATATAGGTGGGGAAGAGAACTGGAAGATGTGCTTGAGGAGGCAAATGTATTTTGGGTCAATTGCTGAAAACTTGCTAAATCTGAGATATGCACACGACACTGTTCCATCACTGGAAAGTGCCTCATACTTCCAAGTTTATTAATTGGCACTGTATGCTCCAAGTGTCCCTATTTCCCAGCAACAGTCCCAGATTTACAGAAGACGTCCCAATTTCTGATTTGATCCCAGAATGCCCAGCTTTTCCTTAGGACATCCCTATTTTAATTGGAGAAATGTTGCAGGGCACGGTAGGAGATCCCTATTGTCATCAGAGGGTATAGAGTTATGCGACCCCTGAGCCAAGGAGATAAGTAACTATACAACCTTTAGAAGACATCTGATAGAGACACCTGCATAAGGAAGGTTTTTTTTAATGTTTAATGTTTTGTTGTGTTTTTATATATGTTGGAAGCTGCCTAGAGTGGCTGGGGCAACCCAGTCAGATGGGTGGGTTATAAATAATAAACTTATTATTATTGAATAGGATGTCCCTATTTTCATCAGAGAAATGTTAGAGGGTATGCAATGAGAATTATTAATAATCAATTGTCCTGGGGAAAACCACATGCAGGATGCTTCTAATACTACTTCTGGCTGCAATCCTATGTAGATTTGCTTGGTTGTAAGCCCTGTTGGACTTTCTGCCCTC